AAGACGACGAGCTGCAGAATGCGTGCTCGAAGAACATTACGTGGGGCGCGGGGAGCTGCGCTTGTCCGGTCCCCCGGCCTGTTTCTGGTGCCCTTGGCCGGATCCGTCTCCTGCCTGCTCTCGCGGACAGCGGAGCCCGTCTCTGGGATCTTCATCGAACTCGTCAGCACCTGCGATTATCGCGTGTTTGCTCTTTAACTTTTTCCTGTCTTTCTCATCACGCGAGTGAAACAGAAGAGACGGTAATTTTGTGAATCTCTTTGACACTCCGTCCCCACAGCCCAGGTCGGTAACCGGAAGGCGGTGGATGCTCGGAAAATATCTGGTTGATGAATGAACAAACTGGTGTTTGTTCATTCGGGAAGTATCCACTTTTTGGCACCTTTGAAATCCCCTGGAAATCAACCCTTTACAAAAGTTGCCCTTTTCGTGTTTCTGTTCGTTCCCGGGTGTGTCTGAAGAAAACACAAGAGGGTTTTAAGGTTACTTGGTGTCGGAACATCATTTTAAGAAAGAGTCTGTTTTCCTCAGTCAGGTGGAAAGTGTTTTCGCTGCTCTGGCCACGTCACTACCGTTCGCCCCCCCCTCGCTCGGCCTGACTACCGGTAGCTGATCTCAGTGCGGCTGTGACCTTGGCCAGTGTCACGGTCCCTTCTCGGTGTCAGGGGCGATTGCCTAGATGTGGTTCTCCAGGCGCCGCTGCATGTCACGTCGGGATTTACATTCACGTGGGACCCGCCGTGAGACAGAACACACATTCCGAACCCGCCCCTGTGCTTTCCCCGCGGGAGCGAGGACAACGCCCCCGTCCCCCAGCCGGAGGGGCCTGGTCAGTGTCAGCTGTCACTGCGAGAAGCAGAGCGACTTCGGGAAGTCTACCCTAACTGACACGAAATACGAGCTGGACCGTTAGTTTACGTGATGGCGCAGAGCTAAGGGCTGCGGGTTGGATTCTGACTTCTCCGTTCCGTGGCGGAGTCACCCTGAGCAAGCTGCATGTCCTTTCTGCACCGTACTTTCTTCATTTGTAAACGAGGCCCCCGATGCCTGCTGCGGCAGGGGCCGAGCCTGCTGCCGTGGGCCGAGCGCGGCGGACGGCGGCACAGTGGCCGGCAGTGGCCGCTCCGGATGTTTCAGCCGTGGCCATTTCCGTTTAGGGAGGTTTTTAGCTCCATTTTATTAGCTAATTTTCAGCCCGACTCATGCTCACGCTAGTCGGAATTTGGACATTGTGACTGAAGACAGTGTCTCGATCTACCAGTGATGTTACCAAATGCAGTTTGGGGGTTTGCATCACATTGCATGTCAGTCAGAACCTGGGGACTGGGGGGTGGGGGTCGGGTAAGGGAGAAGGATCTGTATTCTGAGAGTTCATGCAGACTGAAGGTTCGTTCCTCTTTATCCGAGGATAATTTCTGTGCAGACAAATCTAGTTCCTTAGACTGCACTCATCACAAGAACTTTAGATAATGAAGGAGAGGAGCGTGTGTCTAATGTGGGGGAGGGGGGAACCCAGGAATCACAGCTTGTATGCAACCCGCATTAGCAGGTGATGTTCATCATTATTAATGTACTGATTTGTACAGGTCACATCAGCTTCAGGGCGTGAGGGACAGCGGATGGCTTCGTCCTCAGAGTCTAAGTGAGACAGGAGTGCCCTAAACGTGCCCTAGCTGGAAGGGTGGAGAGGGCCCCAGTGGCCAGAGAGGCTGGCCTGGTTTTCCAGTACATTCTGTGTATCGGAGTCATTTAGTGACATCCTCTAAAACCAGAGTTCTGCTCTGGGGCAGCGGCATGAACGGATGGTGTTGAAGGCAACTGGTTCCCTGGACGTGCCAGCCAGGGGTCGCTGGGTGTCAGGCTGCAGGGGTGGGGGAGGGGCAGAGACGCCAGTCGTTCAGATGAACTAGTTTCTAGTCCGAGTGTCTGCGCAGGGCTCGTGGACACAGCTACACAGACACGGGTGACAGCAACTGCCAGCGTGTGAGGAGGGGGACCATGTCACCTGGGGCTGCCGTACCGAGAACCACACACTGAATGTCTTCAGCGGTAGCACTTTGCTGCCTGCCGGTCCTGGAGGCTGGACGTCTGGGACCGGAGGGCGTTGGCAGGGCCACCGGCCCTCTGCAGGTCTCCACTTGCCATGAGATCTCCCTGTGTCCCGGTCTTCACCTGGCCATCTTCCTGCGAAGACACGGCCCTACCAGATGAGGGCCCCCCCCCCACTCCAGTAACGTGTGCGAGGGCCCCCTCGCCAAGTAAGGTCACGTTCCGAGGAGCTGGGGCTCAGGCCCAACATGTGGATTGTGGGGGAGCACATTCAATCCATAATAGGTGATCGTGTATTTTTATCGTCCTCCTTGGGACTCTCGTGAAAGGGAACACTGTTCATACTTGTTCCAGGCCCGGCAGCATCAGCAGAGACGGCCCGAGGCACACCTGAGTATGTGCTCACTGGGGCTATGAGACAGGCGCAGCTCCCCTCATCTTTAGAGGTTTGGAGAGGTCGAATGACTTCCCCGGAGCTACGGTGAGAAAGACGAGCAGTATTCAGATTCCTGGGGACACTCCGATTCTAAAAAGGGAGAAAAGGCTATGTTTTCAAAGAAGTTAACCTTGTCATGTCTATAGAGAAAGCTTAGCCATTACGAAAGAAAGTAGCACCGGAGTATGTTATGTTAGGTTTAATCAGCACATAATTGGCCTGACGGCTGCCCGTCTTGTGACTCGGTTTGCTGGCTCTTCTCCCCGACCTGGAGCTGGAGAGCAGGACCACACACAAAGCTCCATGGAGAAAGCGGGTGGCCGCGAATGTTCAGCGATTTCGGGACTGCCAGATTTTTTTGAAGTCACTTTTTCTAAGTGTAAACCGCTTTATGGTTCTTAGCAGGCTTTATCCATAATCTAGGTTTGATTTCTTGGTTGAGTTGATTGTCAATAGATAAGTAAGAAGGAAAACATTTTCAGCATTCTTCATTATCTGATTCGGAATATCTAAAAAAAATGCCTTTGCTTTTCGTACTTTATGAAGAAAGAAGGAACTAGCAGTTGCCTGCAATTCTGCGACGCGAAGTCGTCACCGCGATGCCCGCGTTTTGCTGTCCCCTCCGGTCCCTCCTGTCCTTCGCGTGCGCGTGGCCGAGGGTGAGCTGGGTGAGAGCTCCGAGCGACAGTTCCCGCCCCTGCTCCCTCGAGCGCTGCTGATGCCGTCAGCACCTGTGCTGTTCGTGCTGTTTCCATTTTGGCCGTCGCCGCTGAGGACTCCGGGAACATGGGAGAGGGGAAATCAGCGTGAGTTAGAGACTGGACGGAGCGAGAAGTGAGCGAACAGGGGGAGTCTTGGGCGGCCCCGACGTTTCTTCCTGGGCAGCTGGCCAAGCGTGGGGTAACGGGTCAGGACAGGAGATACAGGCCACGCCGGATCCGAGGATGAAGTTCACGAGTCCGGAACCGCGAGGCTGAGTTTGACTTGTCTGTGACGTACGCCTGGTGGACAGGTGGGCCTCTCAAGACCAGAGCTCAACAGAGAGATCTGGAATTCAGATGAACACGGGTCATCAGCTCATGGTGAAAATAAGATGATGTTTTCAGAGTCGCTCCAGTAAATTGGACGCTAAGCTTTTTCCTTCCAGCCGTGAAAAGTCACCCCTTCCTGGGGTTGTGCATGGAATGAGGTGAGGGTCCAGGCCCACCTACCTGCCCCGGAGGCTGAGTTTGTCTCAGGGAGGAAGGCGAAGGTCTGGGTAGCTCGGCAGACGCTCCCATGCGGTGGCACTGCCGGATTTAGTTTTGAGTGTAGTTTTGAGTTCCCATGCGGTGGCACTGCCATCATTTAGTTTTGAGTTCCTGGTTGGTTGGTTTTCGTCTGTGCTGGTGGTCGTCATCCTCTCCCAGTGCCCAGATCAGTGGGAGCGTCCCGCGTGCCGTCCTGGGGGAGGGGCTGGGGAAGCCTCCGTGACGGTGGCTCTGCCGCGTGGCCTCCACGAGATGTCACTGCCAACGCGTGTGCAGAGGACGGAGCGTAGCCGCGGGCCCAGGGTCTCACACCCGGGGCTGGAACTATCGTCTCTGGAAGCTGCGGGGAGGGGTCCGGGCGCGACCTGAAGAAAAGGGACCGTTGGACTGAGCCGCAGGCCTCTGCTGGACCTGCCCGTGGCAGGTCACCGGAGTTGTGACCCCACCAAAGGGGCCGGAACCCGCTGGGACTGGGGGGCGGGCACGTGCTGCTCATCGCGGGCCCCGGCCCTGGTGGGGAAGGCGACCGAGGTTTGGTCTTTGCCGAGGGCAGAGGCTTCGCCGTGCGGGTCCTGGATGGCAGCCAGGTCCAACATCGGCCGCGTGTCACGTGGGCGCGCGGGAGCGTGAGTGGGCGGGCCATTTCCTCCGCCTTCCACGGCTAGGCTCTGGCCAGAGGCAGCGTCAGTCGCCTGCTGGGATGAAATTCCATCATTCTTGCCATTTCACGGTAGAAGTTCTTTGAAATGTGATGTGCGTACGTGCACGTGCTTGTTTCACAAAATGGCCTGTTTCCTAAATAACTTCTAGGCGGGAGGCACTCTGTTGCATCACCTGCCACCTGGTTTAACTACCCGTGGCTCTGTTGAACACGGGCCAGTCCCGCGAAAGGCTTTTGAGACGCGTCGCCCTGCGGTAGACCGTGAAGTCTTCCAGGAAGACAGTCCGAGGCCCTCGTAGCGAGCAGCTCAGTGACAGAACAGACCGATTCACATAAAAGCTTTTTAACGAACTCGTAAAAGCGGGAGGTTTCTTTGGGTCCAGCTGCGGGAAGGAAAAAGCAGCCAGCCTGCTGCCCGCGAGTCACTGGCGTCTGCGAGCTGGACGCACTCCCGGCTCTGTCCCTGTCCGCGGGAGGGGACGGGGCCACCGCCTGGCGTGAGGGCCCCGCTGTGCGTGGGGGGCGGGGTGGGCGGGTCTCGAGCGGGCGAGTGGCCACGGCCCGGGCTCGCTTCTCTGACGTGACGCCTTCCCCCACTCCGCAGGTGAGCGGCCCTATCACTGCCCCTACTGCGAGAAAGGATTCAGCAAAAACGACGGGCTGAAGATGCACATCCGGACGCACACCAGGGTAGGCCGCGCCCCGGCCCGTTCCCCCCGCTCCTGGGAACCCTGCTTGCTTAAAACGTCTTCGGCTTTGCGTGGGGCAGTAAAATGAGGCGCCAAGTTATGTTTATATTTATGAGGGGACACTAGGTGTAAGCTTTTCTTTTTTTTAAAGACAAAATGGTGAAAGAAACAAAAAAAACCCACACTCCCCCCCCACAAGGGTCCCCATGCTTTGAACCGTGACTCAGGTTTGGGAACAACGGCCGTTATAAATGACAAGCTGCCGAGGGAATGGACTGTAACATTTTAATACTAAAAAACAAAAAGTTGCCGCCTCGCAGAGTATTTGCCAGTAATAGGAACGTCCTAGAATAGAGGTGAGCCTGTCAGCACGAGGTCATTAATACGTATGAACATGAACACGTGTATTTGCAAAAAAGACGCAGAACGTGACGTAAGTTCCTGGGGGAGGCGGAAGGCCAGGAAGGGCAGCTGACTGCTGTCCAGGTGGGAGCCCGTCTCTGTTTCCCAGGGGGCCCTTTGCCCTCTGCCGTGCTCACCTCTGCCTGCACTGCGGTCAGCGCCTGACAGACGGCCCTTCCAGACCCAGGCGTCGGCCTCACGTGATGAGGAACGTGAGCAGCTCGCCCGCACCCAGCTCGTTTCTGAGCCCGCTAGCCGGTTTGGGGCACGGCGAGATCCTCTGTGCCCACGTGAGCGTCAGGCGCTGTTCTGAATGGCTCCTCTCGAGCTCGCTCTGTCCGCATGTACATTGTGTCGCCTGCACATTGTGTCGCTTGCTCACAGTCCCTCCGAAGTCTGGCCTTCGCGTGCTCACGGTCTGTGTGTAAATGACACGCTTTTTCAAGTTGTAAGAGCAACTCGAATTTCGGCCTCCTCTGGATTTTACGTTTACCTTAGCTGTAAAATAAAACCTGTAGAGAAAACATAATAATAATAACATCCTTTCCAGTATCACAAAGCTCGGGCCCCCACTTCGGTTCTGTTGGAAAAGGGCTCTTTGGCTTTCATGGAGGGGAGAGGGGACATGTCCGCTCAGGGAACCAGACCCATAATATCCTGCTCCCTTTTCCTGCTCACTAGGAATTTTCTAAATACAAAATTACGACAGACGGCTAGACAAATGTCACTGCTCAGAGTAATACGTCAGTGTATGGATTCGGAATATTTATTTCACAGTGAGCCTTATTTGGGAGGCGCCAGTAACGCGTCTCGAAGGTGCTGACCCGCAGGCGAGGAGGTCCCGGTCCCTCTTACCGAAACTGGCCGCGTCACGGAGTCTGGGCAGAAGGTCGCATGCCGCACCGTTTCCCAGGCTCACTGGGGACGTGGCTCCCCACAGGAGACGCTGCAGGAAAAGAATACCTTTCGGGTTTTCCAAGTGTCTTATTTCTAATGTGACGAATTTGTTTTTTACTTTGTTTTCATATAAAGTTTGTTAACGAGAACGATACAAGTAGTTGAAACAGATACAGAGCCCACCAGTTCCGAGCGGCTCCTAGTCCGGGCCTTCGCATGGATGCATTAATTCATTTAAGCCTCACGGCAGCTCACGTGTGCCTTTAACAGCTCGCCGAAGCCTCCGCGAGGTAGGTGTGGTTGGGATCCCTCTTTGAAAGATGAGAAACTGAGGCACGCGAGCGAGGAGCAGAATGGAGCTGGGACCCAGGCCGACGGGCTGCAGAGACCACCCTCTGGCCTGCGACAGACGTGCCTTGCATTCGGTTAAATGTTCTCAGACCCTGCGGACTTGGATCCACTTTCCTGTGTGTTTCAGACTAAACAAACAGCAGTAATGACCCCGAATGTATAAGTCTCGTGTTCGTTTGAAAATCCGAGCCCTGACTGCAGGGTCCCTAAGCTGCCTCAAGGTGTCCAGGTGCAGGCAGCCCCTTTGCAGCTGCTCTCACACATGCACCGCACGGAAAGAAGGGCCCCAGGCCTGCCTCCGGGTCCCCGGGGCCTGGCTCCCCCGCCGGGGTTCCAGACAGAGCCCTGCATGGTCAGCGGGGAGGAACAGCAAGCACAGGGTCACAGAAGCACGCCTGTGGGCCTCGCCTCCAACACGTCTTTAATTTCCCTTTTTTCGGTGTGTAATTTATATTTGATCGCAGACAGCTTTGGTTCTGAAATCCTGTTTCCTCAACGGCGGATGAATACAGAGAATCTTGGCTTTTCAAAAGCAAAGGAAGATGACGAGCCATCAAATTCATACTAAGGACCAAAAAGACTTTTTTAAAAAAGTCCTAGAGGAACAATCTCTGCAAGTTCGTATTTTCTCAGTATTATTTGGGTTTTCTCAGCCCCAGAAAGACACCATGACGCAAGTTCGTATTTTCTCAGTATTATTTGGGTTTTCTAGATTCAGCCCCAGAAAGACACCATGACATTTGGACCATAACACATGCAGTGTCCACTTTGTGTTCACGCTGCTTTACTTTTCAGACAGCTCTAATTCAAGACCTTTTTGGTCTCATTTCAAGAGCTAACTTTAATTCCATTGCCACAATAACAGAAACTGTATCATTCGGCGAGTTACGTCTTTAAGAAGCCTTGGGGAGCCCGCGCCCCCGCGCCCCCGGATTTGCATTCTGCGGTGACTGCCTGGGTGCCACAGGGAAGGAACCCAAAGTCCTGTCTCTCCGCGTGTGGTTTATGGGGCGCAGCCAGGGCCCCCAGGAGGGAGACAGTTCTGCTGAAATCCCAGTTTTGCTAAAAGGCTGAACGGCGCTTCGGTCTTTCGTGGAGAGGCCCGGGCTGGCGATTCCTGCGTTTCGTCAGCGTGTCGGCTGCATTTTCGGTTTTCCGCGGGTGTCGTGCTGGCGTCGCCTCCGCCTGTGCTCTGTGACTGGTTCGCAGGTCTCGTCTCGGGGTGTCTCCCCGGCTGCCGCAGCCGCCTCGTCCTCGGGGCTGACGGACCAGACGGTCCCTGTGCTCCGTCTCTGCGACGTTCAGGTCAGCTGCTGGTCCGGTGACCTCGGCACGTCTCCTGCCGTGACGCGGGCTCCCGGCCTTGCTGCTGGTCGGGAGGGGCGACGTCCTCTGCGGCCCCCCGCGGCCCCCCGCATCCCGAGAGCAGAGCCGCATTCTCTCGGTTTGCTGGGCCCTCCGCCTCTGCTTCGTGGCTGTGGGTTCATTTTCCACTCGGGAGGAGATGAAGACGGAAACCCGTGCCCTCCACATCCGGGGGGCACCTCCGTTCATCCGGGAGCACCCCGCATGCGAGCCGCGTGTAGTCAGCCCCGCGTGTGTGTCTGGGGGGGCAGGCGGGCGGCTCCGCATGCTCCCCCCGGCCTGCGGGGTGAGCGTCTGCCCGGGCTCCCCCATCTGCCTTCTCCCTCCCGTGATGCAGGACGCGGCCTCTGAGAAGCAGGGCCTCTCAGGGGCACTTTTCACGCCGTGGCCGCTGTGGCTTGAGGCCAAGACGTTTTAAAACAACCTCAGGAGGGAACGTGAGTTTTCCCAGGGATTTGAGGCTGGGAAACGCCCCTGGCGGATCCGCTCCCTCCGGTCCCTGTCATCTCGTCCGAGGGTGCCGCTGGACCTCCCAGGTCTGTCCGAGGCTTGTGTGCCAGTGGCTTCTCGCTATGTGGCAAGTCTCAAGGCCACTGGGTGTGCTGCGGGCAGGGCGGTCGGTTCTCTGGGGACCACGGGCCTCCGGCTTTGCCGTCCGAGACGCCGAGCCCCGGCACTCGCCGTGGGTGAGGTGGGGCCTGCTCATGGACACCCATTTTGTACACGTTGGTTCTGAAGCAGTGGTCACGTGTGACCCATTGTCACAGAAAGCATCACGTCTCACTTAATCACTTTTGATTTTCAACATGAAAAACACCTGGACCCATTAGAAAGTTATTTCAGAAACTCCACCGGTTGAACCCCGCTTAAAAAACCCGAACAGCTTACACGAGTCTGAGGGGTCCAAGTTCACAGCTGTCTCTCCAGCCTGGTCTGCAGGAAGAGCCAGATTAGTTCTTACAAATTTAAAAATGAAACTAATCGCCACCAATGGTTGAAAGTGGCAGCCAGCCTTTTATGCTCACTTCCATCTCAGTACTTCTTTAAAAAATGAAACTTCCTGTGCCCGATTCCCAGGTAGCTCGGGTTGTGGGCGGGTTTGAGAGACGCGTGTGCATCCCCCTGACACCGCACACGAGCCCGGGGCCTCCAGCCCAGACCGCAGAGGGTGTCACGGAGTTCGCGGCCGGCACCGCCGGGTTTAGCCGGAGGCTACGGGTGGGGTGCTGATGGAGCGATCTGAAAACTATGCCAGACAGACAGACAGACAGACACACACCTGACCAGAGCGTGAATGGTGGGTGCCACGGAAGCACCACGTTGCAGGAGAAAGAGTCGTCAGTACGGGCGAAGTGGCTGGAGGCGGGGAGGGGGCGCAGACGCCGGGCGAAGACGCGGACGTTCTCGAGCCGCGAGGGCATCGCGTGCGGTTTCCGCGGCTTGGCTAAGCATGGGGAAGGGTCTGGTAAGGGGAGGATCAGCTCGGCGCCCATGAGCGCGCGTGAGGCCGGCGGGAAGAACGCGGTCGGAGGCAGACGCCGGTCTCAAACCGGCCGGGGCGTGGCGGGTCGACTGCGGGGAATGCTGGGGCGGGGTGGTATCTGAGGTGGGCTTGCAGGGATGCGGGGAGGACCTGCTCGGGGTCCGGAACCCCGCAGGCAGCGTGGCAGAGGTGCCCGACGCCGCGGGCAGGGTGGCCCGTCCACGGCCGCTCGGTCTGAGGACGCGTGTCAGAGTCTGAGCCCGAGGGGTCGGTGTGAGTTCTGGAAGCGTGTGTTGTCTTGCACGATGTGTTTCAGGAGCGTGGCACGACCAGCCGTCTTTGGGGAAGGTCGCTGTGACGTCGTGCTCGAGCGGGCACCGAAGGCGGGCGGGACGGGAGGCGGGGACACCAGCCAGGAGGCTCGCGGCAGCCCGGGCCGGGGAGCCAGCGGGGAGCCTCTCCTGGTGGGGCACGGGGGCGTGTGGCGGGGCTGTGTGGTGGGC